GGATGCGCCCTGCTGATGAGTCCCATACCAGAACGAAACGGCCGTCGTGCAGTGCTTCCAGGTTTCTAATGGTGATTGTCTAGCAATGATTGATTGATGATTTCAAATGTGTAAAAACACAAATCTTCAAAACTCTGCCCCTAACTAATCCATTCTTCTCGATTTATTGTTCACACGTTCGTTTGACCTTGTCAAATGATTTGCTTACTTACTTACTTACTTACTTGTGTGTGTTTGTGTTTGCGTACGTACATTACTTACTTCGTTTATCACATGTCTGCCTTTATTTTTGTCTGAATGTAAATACTTGCTGGTTTTGTCTCCTCTTCATTAAGTTGTCACACTCGCCTTCTCAGCTTCATCTCTTTTCGCACCGCTTTTACTCTTTACACTCTGAATGAAATCAACTCATCCCAACGGAATCTATATTTAGCTTCTTATTTTGCCACTATCGCACAAACAGTGTTCATCGAAGTACGATCTACAGAAACTGACAGAGAGATTCATTTCATAGCATATTCAATTGGTTGTACAAATCGGTTTTAAATCTCAGGTCACTAAAATAAATATTCCATTATCCAAAGCGTAATAGGTAAGCAAAGTGACGCACAAACCTTACTGACCTACTGAATAAAAGTTCACAACTCTATCACACCATTAAGCGTTGATCAGTTTTTTTCATTTTAACAACAATGAAAGTTCAAATCACATCAAATAGATTATTTTAAATAACTGCTCTCTGTTTTTTTTGCCTTATAGAATGATGAAGATCATTATTTGCTGTGTTGACATTGTAATTAGAAACCTAAAAGGACTGAGGTGTGTCCAGTTAAGTTATCCACCGACGACAATCGGTGAGGTTACACAAAACCGTGGAGTAATTGAAGTTAGACATTAACACAGTTGGATATCAGTTCAGTGGTTAAGCGGTTCGCGCTCTAAACTTAGTGGTCCTGGATTCGATTCCTGTCAGTAGAAGGAGTTGTGGATGTGCATTGCTGATGAGTCCCATACTACTATGAAACGGCTGTCCAATGCTTTTTTCAGGTTTCTAATCCTGGTCTAACATTGATCGATTCATGATTTCTCTTGCCTAATCGAAATAACTTTCATGGTATAATTCTTATAGTTTTTTAAAAATTATTTTGTGGCTTCGAATCTTATCACAAATAGAATTCTATTTTTTGTACATTTGAAATCAAAAGAAAAACTTAACAATCTTCACAACAACCCCGTAATGCAAATTACGTGGGCTCACTAGTGACTAGCTTCGTGAGCACATATCTTCTCCGAGTTCTATTGGGAAAACGTGACCAGTGAAGTTCAACCTGTTCGGGTGTAGACAGTAACTACCGAAGACTGTGTATGAGGTTGCGCAACTCCGTGAATTTGATCAAGTTAGACATTAACACCGTTAGATACTGACTCATTGATTCAGAGGTTAGGCGTTCGTGCATAAAACCGAAGGTCCTTGGTTCGAATCCTGAGGGGTGCATGAGTCGTGGATGCGCACTGCTGAGGAGCGCCATACCAGGGCGAAACGGCCGTCCAGTGCTTCTGCCAGGTTTCTAATGGTGGTCTATCAATGATCGATTCATGGTTTCAAAATATGTGTAACTGAACAATCTTCACAACCCCGTAATACATATGAATTCATCAATCAATCAAACTTGTTAGATCACCATTAGAAACCTGGAAGTACTGACAGATAGCCGTTTCACCGCGGTTCGGGACTCATCAGTGTCAGTGCACATCCAGAACTCCTAGATCTCGCAGGATTCGAACCGTTCGGTCTTGCGCTCGAACGTCTAACCTCTGAACGACAAGGCCGGCTTTCTGACGGTGTTAATGTCTAACTCTGATCAATCTAATTGAAGAATTCTCATTGTTTACTTATACTAAAACTAATTTTAGGTTTTTTTTCATAAATTCACTATTTGCCGAAAGTCCTGGGTTCGGATCCTGCAAGGTGTAGGAGTCATGGATGCGCATTGCCACTGAGGAGTTCCATACCAGGACGAAACGGCCGTCTTTCAGTGCTTCTTCCAGGTTTCTATTGGTGGTCTAACATGTTTGATTGATTGATGGTTTCAATAAAAAAATCTATGAGGCAACAACAACAAAAAACTCGGCTTTAATTTTTTTTCACATAAAAAAATAAGCATTTTTCATTTCACACACACCGACACATGTTTGTAACATATTTAACTGACCTTTTGAATCATCCATCAGCTGTGATAGTCATTCCATTTCATTTCTCTTTCACACACACACACACGCACGAAATGAGTTGCTAATCGATTTTCTTTTGGGTAGTCTATTTTCCCCATCGCTCGACGTTCGTTCGCTGGGGTTGACTGTGATCGCTGTTCCAACGCGCGCACACACACACACACACCCAATACACGTGGCCGATATGATTACACAATTTCTATCTATCTCTCTCTCTCTCTCTGTATGTGTATATCGATTTGCTATTCAGAAAATGCATCAACGTACACGAAATAATAAAAATCTTTATATACATATATTCGACAGAAAAATTTCATTCATCACAATAATGCATCATTCGACTAGACATATTTAGTTTCAATATCCATTAATATCCTGAATCCAAATCGGGAAGTGAGAGAGAGAGCGAGTTCCAGACAGTTAGTTATGTGGATAGACATATTCTGTCCACACTGATTGATGCAACACACACAAACACACACATGTACAACAAACACGCATCATCGCGTTTAGTTAGTCAGTCAGTCAGTCAGTAGTAGTAGTAGTGAGTCATGATCATGATTATTATTATTCACAAGTGTTCATAACTCAAAGTAATAGTGTGTGTGTGTGTCAGTGTCAGTGTGTGTCTGTAGTTGTGTGCGTCGTATATGTCTACGCTAATATGTGTGTGTACGTATGTATGTGTGGTGAACACAATTGTGCATACTTCTGAACTAAACCATTATTTGTAGCGGTAATAGTAGTTATTGGCAGTAGTATCAACATATAGAATTGCCTTAACATTTCATCGAGTGTTAAATTTTCTTACAATGGAGATGAAACTCTGTGTAACCTACACACACACACACACACACACAGACATACACACACTAAATTGTAATTTACTTACCATTTCGAATAATGTGGTGTTTTGTTTTAGTTACATGTGATGATGATGATGATGATGATGTTGATGAGGCTTTGGTGAAATTCACAATTGGAATCAATAATTTTCTTTACTGATCAATACTGTGTATATGAATAATTGAAATAGTCACCCAGTGTTGTAGAAGTGGTTGGTTTGATGTTGTAATTTTTTTTGATATTACTCGGTAGTTGATTGAAATCAATTGATGAAGTATAGTGAATCTTGATCAGTTTGAGGGTGGTTGCGAAATGTGTCGCGAATGTCCAACCACCGACTGCCTCGTCGAACTATGTTTTGTGGTGTAGGGGTGGTCGGGAAGAAAGCTAGAAGTGGCCGAACTAAAACATGGCACAAATCCATGAAGTCACTAACAACTGCATTGAGTCATGGTAATAGATACGGGGTCACGGCCTGCGGGATGATACTAACCGATGGTTAGAGGCCTTAAATGCCATGGCTCAAAATCGTTTGCAATGGCGCACGTGCATCCACTATTTGTGTTCTCTCGAATTCTAATCTTCTGAATTCCTCTTCATCTCTGTCTTTCTCTCGCTGAAGTTATCTCACTAAATTATACTTCTCGAATAATATCTTCAAACCACAATCTACTCTATTACTGCTAATACTTATACTATCGCTACCGCTATGTGATTTGAACTGAAAGTTGCGTCTCTGTGCTAATGCGGTATGGCAACCCAAACTTATGTACTAATGTACGAAGTTTACACTCTGAGTCAATTAAAAACGAAAACATTACATTGAACACTACCCTATTTGCACACCATCTCTTTGAGTCGTGACTTCCAACACTCCATCCTTCTTCCATTCCTGTTGGTACTCCATTTACTTCTTGCTTTTGCTCCATTTGATCGTGAGACTTCTTTCACGTCTCTTCATATACTACTTAAATCGTTCGTATAAGTAGCACACACCACACAGGCATCTATTTGTTAATACAAGCAAGTTTTTGTCTACTGTCTACTCACACATCTCTTTTTTCATGTTCAATGTACTTTGATCGCACTAAGCAATCAAATACCCAGATAATTCCTCTTTCTCTAGTAACAACATCAAAGTGGACACTTACTACTGCATACTATTATTTATATGTCACTTTTTTGAGTAACCTTCAACATAATGGAGCTTTCATTATTCTTCTGACCCGACCGTGGCTGCTACCTTGACGTGGTGGTCGGGCTTGACTATTGTGATCACTCAACCGAGCTATACTGGCTGCAACATATGTTCCTGAAGGTTCTACCATGCCAGACAGGTCGATTGGTGAACGATGAGACTAAAAGCAACTACTCAAGGTCTGAGGACGAAGTCGTACTGTTGACTGTGATGGAGGGGTGTCACAGCAGTAAGGTGTTTCCTTCGGACAACAAGCAGCATCTGCAACGATGCTGCCTTCTCACAAGTAAGGAAGAATTAGAAAAGGTCGACTCTAAAAATGTCACACCTCACCCTACCTCCCGGATTTCCGTCTCTGGTGGTAAGGGTGACCACTAAGGGCCTTTAAGAACGGAGCTAATCCTCAAAATACCTTTCATAAAAAGGCCGTGTGTGACCGGCCTCAAGCAATTGTCCCTTGGACTCTGCGGTCACACTCCCAGGTCTCTAAGACCAGCACACTAATCTATCTTCCTTTTCAGGTCCCTCAAGAAACAACCTTCCACGGTGTGGACAGCCGGGAAGTGACAACCGCCCTCATACCTGTAAGTAACAGCACACGAGAGACCGAATTGGTCGAAATCTGACTGATTATTCTTCCAAAGTTTCACTATTCAATCATTTATTGTATTTAAACAAACAATATCACATTATTTTTTTTTCTGTATTTCCCAATTTTCCATAGACGAATTTCTTGGAACATGACAATATTATCCCAAATAAAACAACCAACCAGTCGTTATCCAATAATAATGTTTATGATCTACCTGAACCAGAATGGATCAGTTGGACATTGAAACAATTCGAAACGTATCATCAACAAGCGTATCAACAACAGACACAATTAAAACAAAACTCATCAAATGAATTATCCTCTACCGATAAACCATCATGCTGTTTTAATGAATCGGCGTTACCATTGAATTTTGAACAATTCCTATTATTCGATCAATTCAATGATGAAGAAACTACAAATTTCTCACCGAATGCATTAATGGCATTTTTATTAAGTTTAGCTCAATATACACCATATACACGTTTATCTGAATTAGCACAATGTGCCCAATTAACATTATATCGATTATTGACAAGATTAGCACGTTATCGTACTGATTGTTTAGTATTACAAGCGAATTTAGCTGAGATTAAATCGAATGCGGATCAAATGCAATGTCAATTAAGTCAATTAGAATCAAATTGGTTTGTTATGAAACATGCATTACAATTGTCCGAGTCAGCATTAGAAATAAGTGATTGTTTAAATCAGGTAAGAAAAAAAATGGTGTTGTACAATGTTTTGATTTGCCGATTATTTTGATCAGTTTTTTGGTGATAGTTAGTGAGTTATAGATTGTCATAGATTGCGCGGTTGTAGGAAGGATTTGATTTCTCTCTCTCTCGTGTACTGGTAAGGGTATGAGGGCGGTTGTCACTTCCCGGCTGCCCACACCGTGGAAGGTTGTTGTTTCTTGAGGGACCTGAAAAGGAAGATAGATTAGTGTGCTGGTCTTAGAGACCTGGGAGTGTGACCGCAGAGACCAAGGGACAACTGGTTGAGGCCGGTCACGCACGGCCTTTTTATGAAGGGTTTTTTGAGTATTAGCTCCGCTCTTGAAAGCCCTTAGTGGGCACCCTTACCACCCGAGACGGAAATCCGTGAGGTAGGGTGAGGTGTGACATTATTAGGGTCGACCTATTCTAACCCCTTCCTTCCTTGTAAGAAGACAGCAGCAGTGCAGATGCTGGTTGTCCGAGGGAAACACCTTACTGCTGTTACACCTGTTTTCAGTCAGCAGTACGACTTCGCCCTCAGACCTTGGGTAGCTGCTTTTAGTCTCATCGTTCCCCAATCGACCTGCCTGGCATGGTAGAACCTTCAGGAACATATGTTCCAGCCAGTATAGCTCGGTTGGGTCATCAGGATAGTCAAGCCTGACCACCATGTCAAGGTGTAGCAGCTACGGTCGAGAATTCCGCGGCTGTAGGCACATGCGATTTATTCTATGATAAGCTTCGTAATTTGAGATGGTTGTGATACATGTGTCACGTATGCCCAACCACCGACTGCGTCGACAACGGATGTTTTGTGGTGTAGGATTAGGTTAGAAGGAGGCTAGGGGCGACCAAACCAAAATGTGGTCTCAGTCTATGAAGTCAGTGACAACTGGACTGAGTCATGTTAGCAAAAGTAGACTACCTGGTTGGCGTCCGCGAGACAATATTAACCAATGATTAAAGACCTTGAACGACATGGCTTGAAATAGTTTGCAATGGCGCAGGTGAATCTACTCTTTGTATTCTCTCAAATCCTAACCTGAATACCTCATCACCGTTAACTTTCTCTTCTTAAATTTACCTCACTGGTTTATATATTTCTAGAATCATATCTTCTAACCCTAATCTCTACAATAACCACTAATACCTCTACTACATCTATCAATATAGGATTTGAACTGACCATTCCATCGCTCACTATGCTTATGTGGTATGACAATATGAACTGATGTACGTATGTGTCAAGCTGTACATTTTTGTAGTTTTGGTCATAATGACAGTCTCAAATATACCAAGCGGATACTGATTAAATTTCAATCAAACTATCAACAACAGGATTAATCCGAAAACTATTTCAAATCTCATACTTATTGCTTATAAGCCAATGGCTTTGTAAAAACTCAATAGCTGAATAAATAGATAATGCAATGACGTTTGAAGTAAACAGGGGGGGGAGTTCGAATCCTGGGGTTGTGCATTAACTCCTGATCGCCTTACTAGTGCTCGTGAAGAGCAGACTAGAGAAAACCAAGCTGGTTTTCGATCTGGACGCAGCTGTATAGACCACATTTTCACACTACGACAGGTCCTGGGACACAGACACGCATTTAGGCGTCCTACAATAGTTGTTTTCCTGGACCTTAAGGCGGCATTTGACTCAGTGGATCGTGAGGTTCTGTGGCAGTGTCTGTCATTGAAAGGTGTACCAAAGAAGTATATTAACCTTATACAAGCTCTCTACTCGAACACCACTGGTCGAGTGAGAGCTTATGGCGAACTGTCAACGGAATTCTTTACTTCAAGTGGTGTCCGTCAGGGCTGTCCACTCTCTCCATTCTTGTTTAGTTTTATCATAGACATGCTCCTAGAAATAACCTTATCCTCGTCTGAATTTTCTGGAGTAGACCTTTTACCAGGTGGCTCGCTTATTGACTTAGAATATGCCGATGACATTGTCCTACTTGATGAAGACGCTGAAAAAAAGCAGAGTCTTCTGACCACCCTTAGCAACAATGCAAGCATGTTCGGGATGCGGTTCTCATCCTCGAAATGCAAAATGTTACTTCAAGATTGGGTTTGATCGGCAGGCACCTGAACTAGTGATAGGGAGTGAAGTAGTTGAACGTGTAGACCGCTTCACTTATCTTGGGATTCTCATCAGTGCTGATGGCCTGGTGACTGACGAAATCTCAGTTCGGATACAGAAGGCTCGATTGGCTTTTGTCAACCTGCGTCATCTATGGCGTAGGCGAGATATCCGTTTGTTGACCTGAGGACGAGTGTACTGTGCAACAGTTCGCTCGGTCCTACTATACGGATTCGAGACTTGGCCTTTAAGAGTAGAGGACTTCCGTAGGTTACTAGTCTTCAATCATCGATATCTCCGAAGCATTGCTCGTGTATCATAGGACAACCGTTAGGAAACGATTTCTAGGTAAGGATGACAAATCAATAGATGAAGTAGTGAAACTTCATCAGGACGAAACGCATGTCATCGATTTCATTGTTCTAACTACATTCTGTTCTACTCTATACAGACATAAATCTATTTGTAATAATCGGTTATTATTGTTATCTTCTTTAGTTATATTCCACAGAATTAGCTGTTACAATATTTCGTCAATTACAACCCAATAATTCACTAGTAGTAAAACACCCATTCTCTACAATTTCCTCATCCACTTCATCATCATCAGTTCAAGGCGGTAGTCAAAATAAATCATCCCAATTGAAACAATCACAACCAGCGAAAAAATATCATCATTCACCACCACAATTGCCACCACAACTGCCGTCACACCAACAACACCAGCAACAACAGATATCCTTTTCTACAACATCATCATGTCAGTTATATTCGTCAATCGGCGGTGGTTCATCAGAAGAACATGATCCACTCAATACTACTAATAATAATATGTCTGGACAGTCACAACCACAACAGATCTCTTCAATGAATTTGAATACGTTGAAATTATTAAGGTCAGTTGAATGTGTTTGTTTGTGTTTTTTCTCGTTTTCATGTCAGAAAAACAAACAAACTAGTCAGGCAATCATCAATTTGGAATTTCCAATAAACAAATTGTACATTGAACCAATTAACAAATCAATTACAAATTAATCACAATGAAAATGATTGAACATTGAAAACTGAAAAAAGAATTATGGCGTAATGAATAAAGACGTCAAGACTATTATGATAAAGTTTTTTGGTTCACTGGCTGTCATCGTTCTACAAGTGGTTTGTACATTGTACATTGAACCAATTAACAAATCAGTTAAACTAATCACAATGAGGATGATTGGACATTGAACGTTAAAGTTTGAAAAGTTTGAATGTAAAAGGAATTATGGTGTGTAATGAATAAAGACGTCAAAACTGTTATGGTAAAGTTTTTTTGGTTCACTGTCTGTCATCGTTCTACAAGTGGTTTGTACATTGTACATTGAACCAATTAACAAATCAATTAAACTAATCAGCAATGAAAATGATTGAACATTGAATGTTAAAGTTTGAAAAGATTGAATGTAAAAGGAATTATGAACAAAGACGTCAAAACTGTTATGGTAAAGTTTTTTTGGTTCACTGTCTGTCATCGTTCTACAGGTGGTTTGTACATTGTACATTGAACCAATTAACAAATCAATTATAAACTAATCAACAATGAGAATGATTGAACGTTGAACGTTAAAGTTTGAAAAGATTAGATGAAAAACAAAATTATGGTGTGTAATGAATAAAGACGTCAAAACTGTTATGGTAAAGTTTTTTGGTTCACTGTCTGCCATCGTTCTACAAGTGGTTTGTTACATTGTCAGTCAGTCAAGTCAGATGCAATGTAGAACTTCGTACGTATGTAGGTACATCAGTTCATGTTGCCATACCACATTAGCATACACAGATGTAATTGTCAATTTAAATCCAATAGTAGAAGAGTTAGTAAAGGTATTAGAAATAATCGGAGAGGTTAGGATTAGAAGATATTATTCAAGAAGTATGATTCAGTGAAAAAAGTTTAGAAAGACAAAACTAGAGGTGTTGAAGAATCCAGAAGATTAGGATTTGAGAGAACACAACGAATGGATGCACTTGCGCCATTGCGAACGATTTTGAGCCATGTCGTCCAAGGTCGTCTCGCGCACCCCAACCAGGTAGTCTACATCTACCATCATGACTCAGTCCACTTGTTAGTGTCCTCATGGATTTGTGCCATGTTTTGGTTTGGCCGCCCCTAACTTTCTTCCAACCTATTCCTACACTACAAAACAAAGCTCGTTGAGGCAGTCGGTGGTTAGGCATACGTAACACATGTCCCAACCACCTCAACTGATGAAGTTTCATTACTTCATCTACTGATCTGCTATCCTTACCTAGCACCCGTTTCCTAATAACAGCGTTGCTCATTCGGGTGTCCCAGGATATACGAGCAATGCTTCGAAGACACCTATGATCGTAAACCAGTAACCTACGAATATCTTCTACTCTCACTGACCATGTTTCACTACCATAAAATAAGACGTAGCGAACCACTGCACAATACACTCGTCCTTTAGTCAGCAAACGGATATCTCGCCTACGTCATAAGTGACCATTGCAAACTACTGAAAAATCTAGTTGCCAGTGGTATTTACCACACTAGAATGAAACAATGATATATTGATATTTTTTCCAGTTTTTATTAATACTTTAACTGAAATTATTGTTAGACCGTCAATGGGAATCATCAGCAGTGCGTAACCATGAATCCTACTACTCACACAGGATTCGGACCGAGAAACTTTGGTCTTGCGCACGAATGCCTAACCTCTGGACTATAACTCCAATTAAAAAATCGTGTAATTTGCTCACTAGAGATTGGCATCATGAGGAAATCCTCGGAGTTCTAGCGTGACGACGTGACCAATAGAGTTCAACTTTGTCGGGTGTAGGCAGTTACTAACCGAAGAGAAATGGGTGAGGTTGCACAAAATTCCCTAAATTGATCAGAGTTAGACATTAACACTATTTGGTGCTGAACGACCCAGTGGTCCAGAGGTTAGACGTTCGCACGTAAGACTGGAGGTCCCGGGTTGGAATCCTGTTCGACTAGCAAGAACCATGGATGTTCACTGCTGACGAGTCCCATACCAGGACGAAACGACCGTCCAGTGCCTGTTGTAGGTTTCTAATGGTAGTCTAACAATGCATGGTTCATGAATTCAGTGTATGATAGACTGCCATTAGAAACCTGGAAGCACTTGACGGCTGTTTTGTCCAAACATGGTACTCATCAGCAATGCATATTCTCGACTCCCTCCAGTGGCGTGAATAGAACCCTTAGGTCACTTACGCGCTAATACTTAACCTCTAGACCACCATGATCACTGGATCTGTATCCAACAATGTTAATGCGTGACATTCATCCTTCACTGATATTGAGCAACTTCAACCAATTGTCTTCTCTATCTCACTGCATCACACCCTACAGAATTGAACGGCAATCTATCATCTTTCTTTATGTATTTTCTCTGTTTTTTTTTAGACAACAAATTGAATTAATAGCTTATACAATATTAGATAAATATGAAACATCTGACGGTGATTATGAGAAAATTCCACTGGTCATAACAGCAACTAACACAACAACTAACCCAATCACAACAGTGGCAAACGCAACTGCAACACCGAATCTACTCAATATGAATTTGATCAGCCCTTCATTGAATAACGACATGATGATGATGATGCCGCCTAATCTAGTCAATAATGCCCATTTATTATCTCAACAAAAAATTCAACAACAATTACCGCCACAATCAGCTATCAGTCCTAGTGGTTATTCAATCCAATCGGTGATTACATCATCAAACGGCTGTTTATTAGATAATAATCATACTACTACTACCACTACTACTAGTACTAGTAGTACTACTAATAATAATATAAGTAATATCAATAGTTTGTATGCTAATTCATGGTATGTTAGCTTAAATCGTGACCAATTCACCACCACTACACAACAATATCAGTTAATCAATGAAATTGGTGATAGACAACATTTCAGTTTACCGGCAATCTCGTTGAATCCTCATCAAACTCCTCATCAACAACAACAGTTTACCAATCCTCATTTACGTTCAATTCAATTGAAATCAACTACTCTACAAGGGAATACAAATCAACATAGCCATATCATTATGGATGGTTATGGTTGGGAGACACCAGATTCCGGAGCTGGTAGTAGTAGTATCAATGAACTATCCTCATCACATCAACAACCACAGAATCATCAAAATCACAACCACCAACAGCAAAATCTATTTTTATCCAGTTCCACATCATCACTTCACTATGGACATGATTATCAAACTTATGGTGTCATCCATAACAATAATAATAATAATCATACTACTAATATGACTAATATAAGTAGTAAGTTTACTAGCAACACTCAACCAGATTTATTACTACTACTCAATACATTGATTGATCAACTTCCACCATTATGGACATTATTTACAAAAACTGCATCGACTTCATTTTATGAATCGGATTTAGAATCGTCGGATTCTTCAGAATTACCACCGGGGAATTTCATGAAAACAACACCAACGACTAATGTACCGCCTATGCATCGTTCTCCTCATCATCAACATCAGCATGCATTTTATAAAATCGGTAATCATCATCAGCATCATCATCATAGTGGTTTATTGCCTCAACTACCACCGACAACAACACCACATCAACACCAACACCAACACCCCTGTCTACAATTATCCAATCATTATTGGTCTAGATTGGAAGAACGTAAACTTCGCACTGTCTATTATCAATGCATTCAAGCTTACAAACGTTTACAAATTATGTTAAAGGATTATTCACCTCAAACAACAATTGATAATCATGAGATTAATGGAATGAATCAGACAGTAAATATGGAAAGTGATATTATTCTGGGGAAAAATACGAATTCGGAACAAATCAAGACAGTACAACACCAACTACAACAACAGGAGGAGGATTTAAGCGAGAAAAAAACTGTAAGTTAACAAGTAATCTGGTCAATTGTTATTAAAGTTGTAGTGTGTGTGTGTGTGTTTATGTTGGGCTCACAGAGCTTACCCTAACTTTTGGATAAACTAATTAATGTTTTCTGCTGCAGTTAAAATATTCACATGTCTACTTGTGACGCCTGCACGTAAACATGTCATTTTGATATGTTTGAACGATTATGTGTTTGTTTACCTAGTCGGGAAACGCGAGAGCGTGGATCGAGGATCCGACGACATGACATGCTACTCTAATTTGATTATCCCAACCCCCATATTGAGTAAAAATAATACAAGACTTGATATGAAGTAGAACATGTATTCTACAAGCATTCAGAAAGTACGAGGTCCGAGTCCAGAAAGGAATCAGGATCCTGGACTAGGGATCCGGGACCGGGTCCTGGTCATAAAACGTTACAGATATTGCGTATTTATACATTTTGGTCGAATGAGAAACAGCATCGAAGTCTGTGACATTGACAGTTAAGACGACCAATAAGAAACAACATTGAACTACATGACATTGATATCTAGGACGACCATAACATGGACCAGTAGGAATTAACCATTCGGAATTGGCCAATAATTCTCTTAGGATATTGGATGAATATCCTAACACTACTGTTCGTTTGTATCCTATTTTTAGTGACTGTATTTTGTTTGTCGTTGGGCTCACCAATTTTGTGAAGGGTTAGATGCGATGTGGGGCTTATTAATTTAGTGGTTGCGATGAATTTGAAGTCGGGTTCACTAGTTTAGTGACCTGCGATATTTACGAATGATCGAATATACGATATCGTGGGACACCCGAGTAAGCAATACTGTCGTTAGGAAACGAGTACTAGGTAAGGATGGCAGATCAATAGATGAAGTGGTGAAACTTCATCAGTTGAGGTGGTTGGGACATGTCTTGCGTATGCCGAACCACCGACTGCCTCGACGAGCCTTGTTTTGTAGTGTAGGAGTAGGTTGGAAGAAAGCTAGGGGCGATCAAACCAAAACATGGCAGAAATCCATGAAGTCATTGACAAGTGGACTTAGCCATGTCGGTAATTGTCGACTACCTGGTTGGGGTCCGCGAGATGATAATAATCGATGGTTAGAGACCTTGAATGACATTGCTCAAAATCGTTTGCAATGGCGCCGGTGCATTTATTCTTTGTGTTCTCTCAAATCCTAATCTTCTGGATTCTTCAACACCTCTAGTTTTGTCTTTCTAAACTTATCTCACTGAATCATATTTCTTGAATAATAGCTTCTAACCCTAACCTCTCGGATTACTTCTAATACCTTAACTACCTCTTCTACTATTGGATTTGAATTGACAATTCCATCTCTCTGTGCTGATGGGGTATGGCAACATGAACTGATGTACTTACGTACGAAGTTCTACGTTGCATCTGACTGACTGACTGAATATGCGATATCTGTATATCATACTTTTAGGTAAACCCCCGTCTGTGTAACAGCGATAACAGATGTGTGTGAGTAAATCCATCAGTTCAAGTTGCTATATCAAATTGGCTCACATAGATCGAATTGTCAATTCAAACTTCAAAGCTGTGTAGAGTTAGTTAGTAGAAGTATTAACAGTAATCGGAGAGATTACGATCCGAAGATGTTATTCAAGAAGTATAATCTAGTGAAGTATTTTTAAGATGAGGAATTCAGAAGATTAGAATTTGAGAGAAACCAAAGAATGAATACGTTTGCGCCGTTTCATTCAAAGTCTCTAACGATCGGTTATTATTATCTCACGGACCCTGAACAGATAGTCTACACCTACTAGCACGACCCAGTCCGCTTGTCAATGACTTCAAGGACTGGTGCCATGTTCTCTGGTTAGGGTTAGGGTCATGATGGCAAATGATAGCGGAGTTTTTTTTAATCCTCAGTGCAGTGCACATCCATGACCCGTACAACTCGCAGGATTCGAACTCAGGACCTTCGGTCTTGCATGCAAACGCCCAACGTCTGGACAACTCTGATCAATCTAAGGATTTTGCGTGACCTCACTTATTCGTCTTCGGTAGTTACTGCTGTTGAGTCAGTCCCGTACCAGGACGAAACGGCCTTATTTCAGTGCTTCTTCCAGGTTTCTTTCTAATGACGGTCTATCAATGACTGACTGATAATTTCGGTACTATATATAATAATAACTACAGATGTAACGTGTAAACAGACAGTCAGTCAGTTACAACGTAAACCTTAGTACGTAAGTACATCAGTTCATGTTGCCATACCACATTAGCACACAGAGATGCAATTATCACTTCAAATCCCATAGTAGTAGAGGTAGTAGAAGTATTAGCAGTAATTAGAGAGATTAAGGTTTGACGATATTATTCAAGAAGTAGAATCTAGTGAAATAAACTTAAAAAGAAAAAGATAAAGGTGATGAGGAATTCCGAAAGTTACGATTTGACAGAACACAATGAATGAATGCCCCCTACCCAGTGCAAACGATTTTGAGCCATGTCATTCGATTACTATCATCTCGCGGACCCCAACCATGTAGTCGACTCCTACTAACATGACTCAATTCTACTTGTCGTCAGTGACTTCATAGATTTGTGCCACGTTTTGATTTTGGCCGTGTTGGGGATGTTAGATCCCCAAAATTCACTTGATAAATGCCTTATTTTGGTTTTTACGCTTGCCAGCATGGGCTGATCAGTTGACCTTGAGATTTCATTTCCCACCAGCAGCAAAATCCATGGCTGTGATTGACTGCTGTGTATTTTAGTGTGCTATTTTCTTAACTGTCTCAAGGACATTTCTATGTTGTATAAATAAACGAGAGTTGTATGCTTGATTGTATTGTGTGATTGCTGGGTGTTTGTAGAATATATACTTTCTTCGCTTACAAAGCCTTTTACTTCAGCTTCAGATTCAAGGTAGCCTACCTGGACGCTGGTTCATTGTCTCGTTCGCGTTTATCGACTAAGGTAAACTCGTTATAGCCTCAAGTATACTTAGTGACGAGCGTAACAGGCCGCCTCTAACTTTCTTCCAACTTATTGTGCTACATCGTAAACAGACATATATATATATATACATATGTATATTTCTATTCTGACTTTTCAACATTGGATATCATGTATGCGTGCGTATAGATAACAAGAAATGAATGGTAGATATTTATTCGCTATTGATCTGATTCTGGAATATTTTTAACATTTTATTATGGTATATTACTTATAAACATAAATGTATATCATCTTCCACACCAAAAAAATTATAAGCAGGTGGTCGTGTTAAATTACACTACACTGCACTACACTACACTAGACTACACCGCATATAGAGACGAGGATGTATACATACACACATAAGTGTACAACACAGCGTTGTTGCATTCTGTAAAATGAAAACGAACATTACATACTAGTAAAATTGTGAAATTGTTTGAACAGTGGGCATGCAGGCATGTAGGCAGACAGGTGGTAACTTTCACTTACTACTACTAGTAGTAGTAGTAGCAGTAGTAATAGTTGCCTATCCATAGTTTCGGCTAAATTTTCTCTCTAAACTTTTCCATTTCATAACTTTCTTCATCTTCACATAGGCACACATACGTGCATGCGCACACGCACACACACAAAAACACACAGATACCGGTTGCGGATAAGCTCGCACACACACACACCCCATATATGTACATCTAAAGGTTGGTGTGTAACATCATCAATAATGATAATAGGGATTGTTCACTTTTACAAACCATAAACAACAAGTGTATTTATTCTGTGATGATTGATGATAGGTAGTGTGTTGTTGGGTCAAGGTTGTTTGTGAATTGGTATGATTGTTATTTTTTCACTATCAAACGTATTTATTTCAAGAATACGCATGTGTGTCAGTGTGTTTGTGTGTGTATAGCATTTAAAGTCATCACTTGTATTAATCTTTAGGTATCTTTGTATTTTGGGGCAGAGTTTTGAAGGTTTGTGTTTTTTTATACATTTGAAATCATCAATCAATCATTGTTAGACTACCACCATTAGAAACCTGGAAGCACTGAAAGACGGCCGTTTCGTCCTGGTATGGGACTCATCAGTGGCAGTGCGCATCTACGACTCCTGCTCCTAGCAGGATTCGAACCCGGGACCTCCGGCATTGTAGGCGAACGCCTTACCATCGGACCACTGTGCTGGCCGGCATCCAACAGTGTTAATGTCTAACTCTGATTGATCTAGGGATTTTGCGCGGCCTCACCTATTTGTCTTTGGTAGTTACTGCCTACACATACCCGACAGGGTTGAAGTGCATTGGTCACGTCTTCTCAACTAGAACTCCGAGAATTTCCTCACGAAGCTATTCATCACTAGTGAGCACTGTTACGATATTTTGGGGCAGAGTTTTGGAGGTTTGCGTTTTTACACATTTGAAATCATCAATCAATCATTCTTTGCAGTTGACTTCCAAATTATTATTACACGCCTATATATGTATGTGGTCTTTTTTGTGTTGTTGTGTGCAAAGAAAACATGTTAGAACTTGACTGTGTAGTTTTGACCTATATATTGATGAGATACTTTGTGGACGACTACTACCATGTCCTTAGTTAGGCTGACCTTTACTCCTTTTTTAAATGGTAATTTACAATGACAGTGAGTGAGCGAGTGAGTTGACACCTTTAAACGATGAAGTGTTCTGTGGTAGTCTACAGGCTATTTAGTAATAGTTGGTAATTGCGAATCATGAACTATGAAAGTAGAAGACATGATCTGAAGGGATACTACTCGTGACGTGACTGATAATTAGTATACAGCGAAGTTCCAATGGAAAGTTAGTACCAGAGAGAAGAATGTTGAATCCAAATGTTTGCAGTGTCTAATGAAAGTCTGAAGATAAACGTGTACATTGTGTCTTGACACTTTGAAACCATGGATAAATCATTTTGTGACCACAGTTTGTTAACCAAAGAACGAGTGTACTACGCGTCAGTTCGCTCTGTTCTACTTTATGACTGTGAAACATGGCCAGTCAGAGTGAAAGATATTCGTAAGTTACTGGTTTTCGATTATAGGTGTCTCTGAAGCATTGCTCATGTATCCTGGGACAACCAAGTAAGCAATGCTGTCGTTAGGAAACGGGTGGTTATGGGACATGTGTTGGGTATGACCATCCACCAACTGCGTCGTCGAACTAAGCTTTGTGATGCAGGAATAGGTTGGAAAAAAGCTAGGGGCAACCAGACCAGGCACAAATCTATGAAATCACTGACAAGTGGACTGAGTCGTGTTGGTAAGTGTGGACTACTTGGTTGGGGCCCACGAGATGATACCAATCGAATGACATGGTTCAAAACCCTTTGCAATGGTGCGGATGCATTCATTCTTTGTGTTCTCTCAAATTCTAACCTTCTGAATTCCCCATAACCTTTTCTCTTTAAGTTTATTTCGGTAGATTCTGCTTCTTGAATAATATTGTCGAACCCTACAATTCTTGACTACTGCTAATACTTTAATACCTCTACAACTATGGGATTTGAATTGACGATTGCATCTGTTTGTACTAATGTGGTATGGCAACTTGAACTGGTGTACATATGTACGAAATTCTGTGTTATTGTTGTTGACTGACTGACTGACTGACTATTTAAAACCTGGAAGAAGCACTGAAATACAACTAATCAGTGGCAGTACGCATTTACAACTCTGACTACTCACACAGGATTCGAACCCAGGACATTTGACCTCGCGCACCAACACACTTAACCTCTAGATCCCTCAGCTGACCAACATCCAACGATGTCTAATATCGAATTCTCTACAAACACTACCATCCTATCTGATCACGACATCTTCACTGGATAACATCAACTGTTCATTCTCCTTTACTCTTTACTGATCTGAAAAATTAATAGACTACTCAAAATCAGTTGTCTCACTGAATAAATATCTCACAGTAAACTGACTGTATTATTCATGTGTATTTTTTTTGGTAAAATGCAAAAAAGAAAAACTGATCGATTTTTTTTCTTTAGTACTTGTTCCGATATTGATTGATTTTCTGTCTTCGGCTAACATACAATGTTTTTCTCTGTTTGTCTTTCTCCCTTTTCCCCCCCCTCCCTAACCCAACAACCTCATCAAAATATCATTCTTATTGACTATTTCTTTTTCTCCAATAGTCTTTTGCAGTCAATTCATTGCAACATCAATTACCATTGGCTGTATTTTTAGAAAGTTCAATTTTATTACAAGTAAGTAGTGTATATGTAATAATAGTGTACTATATATATATGTATATATATACTACTTATTTTTCTATTTGAGTATTTGTTTTCTGTTGTGGTTGTTGTAGTTGATTCGTTTTTTTTGGGCGAAAAAAAGGAACTTGGTTTCTCTTTGGTGGTTAACGTTTTTGTTGAGTTGATGAGTTAGTGTTCTACATACAAGATGGAGATCGTTAGTCGTATGTCTAAGCCTCCTCTTTTAGACACGGACTAAGGGGGGAGCAGATAGGAAAGACTGATAGGCTGTCGGTGGAGTTACATTTGATGAATAGAACTTCGTAATAGTTTATTGTATATGTATGTAAAACTGGTCATTACTTATGGTACTTTTGTTATTGCACTTATAATTCTATTCAGAAAAGGACGAGACTGGTTGAATTTTATGATGAGCGGTATCCTAAATTTGAATCCGATACATGCTAACCGCCTAAAACTGACTACTTGGGTGAGAAGAGAAGATTTTAAGAGAACATCTGGTTGCATACTGAATAATTAGTCAGTTGTAATGTAGAATTTCGTACCTAGATACATCAGTTCAGGTTGCTATACCACATTAGCTGCAATTAGATCTCATAGTGATCAATCTAGTTGAAGCATCAGCTGTAATAGGGAAGATTAAGATTTGAAAATATTATTCTATGGGTAAAATCCAATGAAATAAACTCAAAAAGAGAGCAATATAAAAGTAATGAGTAATTCAGAAGATTAGAATTTCCTCAGAACATAATGAATGAATGCACCTGCGCCATTCATTGCAAACGATCTTGAACCACGTCATTCAGTCAGTCAGTCAGATTTGATTTTGACCAATTTGGTCTCTCGTGCTGTTACGGGTATGAGGCACCTGAAAAGGAAGATAGATTAGTGTTGGTCTTGGAGACCTGGATGCGTGACCACAGAGTCCAAGGGACAACTGCTTGAGGCCGGTCATGCACGGCCTTTTTACGGAAAGTATTTTGAGTATTAGCTCCGCTCTTAAAAGCCCTTAGTGAGCAGCCCTTACCACCGGAAACGGAAATCCGTGAGGTAGAGTGAGGTGTGACATTTTTAGGGTCGACCTTTTCTAACCCTTCCTTCCTTGTGAGAAGGCAGCATCACTGCAGATGCTGGTTGTCCGAGGGAAACACCTTGCTGCTGTCACACCCCTCTGCAGTCAGCAGTATGACTTCGCCCTCAGACCTTGGGTAGCTGCTTTTAGTCTGATCGTTCTCCAATCGACCTGCCTGGCATGGTAGAACCTTCAGGAACATATGTTGCAGCCAATACGGCTCAGTTGGGTCGGGACGATAGTCAAGCCTGACCACCACGTCAAGGTAGCAGCTTCGGTCGGGACGTCATTCAGAATCTCTGACAATCAGTTACTATTGTTTCGTGGATCCCAACCAGTTAGTTGACACCTACACCAACATGACTCAATCCAATTGTCAGTCACTTCACAGATTTGGTTGCCTATAGCTTCCTTCCAACCTACTATTACACTACAAAACATCGCTCGTGGAGGCAGTTGGTGGTTAGACAGACGGATTTCGATATATATATGGTGAGACTATAATTGATGGACGGGCCAATCACATTCTCATTATCATTTTGGCATTGCTCAAGCGTTGTCCATAAATATAGTCTCGCCATATCTAAATTTCTTCCCCCTTAGATAATAAATCCATTTTTCGACCAATCATATAATTGTCTATTCATCGTCCAGTATATTTTATGATAGTCATTAAGTGACCTTGCCCGTTTTTGGTCACCCCATTTCTGATTGGTTCATCATATCAAGCATAAAATTAAAATTATCACTCTATAAATTCGATCGTTAGGTTACTAAGGCTATTGAAGAAATTCTGCTATCCTTACGTCAGTTGATATGCTTGAATGAGATTACGAGTTCACCTTAGTCGGTAAACGAGAGCGATGACAAATGATCCAGTGACACGATAGGGTATTCTAATCCGTTGTCTCCGGCATTGCTAACTATATCAAGATGTCTTGATATGGAGTAGAGAATGTATTCTACAAACACCCAGAAAATACGAGGTTTTTTTAAGCATACAAATCAAGTTACTAGTCTTCGATCATAGGTCTATCCGAAGCATTGCTCGTGTATCCTGAGACAACCGTATAATCAATGCTATCGTTAGAAAACGAGTTCTAGGTAGGGATGGCAAATCAATAGATGAAGTAGTGAAACTTCATCAGCTGAGGTGGTTGGGACCGACTGCCTCGACGAGCTATGTTTTGCAGTGTAGGAGTAGGTTGGAAGAAAGTTAGGAGCGGCCAAACCAAAACATGGCAGAAATCTATGAAGTTACTGATAAGTGGACTGAGTCATGTTGGTAGATGTAGGCTATCTGGTTGGGGTCCGCGAGACGATAGTCATCGATGTTTAAAGACCTTGTCTATCACCTCACTATCACTCTTGGATTTGAGCTGACAGTTACGTCTCTGTGCTGATGTGGTATGGCAATCTGAACTGATGTACTTATGTACGAAGTTCTGCGTTGTATCTGTCTGTCTGTCTGCCATACCACCACATTAGCGAAATTCAACAGAAAGATGAAGAAACAGTAGTGAGATCAATAATTTGTCATTATATAATGAAGGATAAAACAAAACTCAACAACAATAAAAACCATTACTTTTAATCCTGTTCCCGCAGCTGCTACCTCGACGTGGTGGTCTGGTTTGTCTATCGTGATGATCCAACCGAGTTATATTAGCTGAAACATATGTTCTTGTAGGTTCTACCATGCTAGACTGGTCGATTGGAGAACGATGAAACTAAAAGCAGCTACTCAATGTGTGAGAGCGAAGTTGTACTGCTGACTGCCAAGAGGTGTGACAGCAGTAAGGTATCTCCTTCGGACAACCAGCCTCTGCAGTGCTGCTGCCTTTTCACAAGAAAGGAAGGGTTAAAAACGGTGGACCCTAAAAATGTCACACCTCACCCTACCTCACGGATTTCCGTCTCGGGCGGTAAGGGCTGCCCACGAAGGGCCTTCAAGAGCGGAGATAATACTCTAAAAACTTTTCATAAAAAGGCCGTACTTGACCGACGTCAAGCAGTTGTCCCTTGGGCTCTGCGGTCACGCTCCCAGATCTTTAAGACCGACACTATTACTTTTAGTAACATAATAATATTCAAAATAGATTGATGACCTAATCAACGATAATCTTTTCAAGATTTTATAATTCTACAAAGTTCGCGCGCAATTCTGAAAGTCTTGGGTTCGAATTCTGCGAGTAGCGTGTTTCCTGGATGCTCACTCTTACTGATGTATCCAGTACAAAGATTGCGAAATGGCCACCCAGTACAGTGCTTCTTTTTCCAGGTTTCTAATCATGCTGGTCTAACACTGATTGATAGTAACTCAACAATCTCTACAACCGTGTTGTGCAAATTACAAGTGCTCACTATTGACTGGCTCCGTAAGGAAGTTTTATCCGAGTTCTAGTGAGAAGTATTGATCCGTGGAGTTCGACTCTGTTCCAGTGTGAAACAGTGTTTATCTGATATGCTTGAATCTAGTACGAGTTCACCTTACTCGGTAAACGGAACGAAGATCAGAGATACAGTGACACGATAGGGTATTCTAATCCGTTTTTCCCAGGCCCTGTTAACTATATCAAGAAGTCTTGAGAAGGCGTAGAGAATGTTTTCTACAGGCATCCAGAAAATGAGAGGTTTTTCTAAGCACACAAATCAAGTTTATTTATACAATGATATAAACGGACTTTGGGAGAGCCACAAAATACCGTACTAAAAAAATCCGCCAACCAAATGACAGTCAAGGATTTTCCGAATGGGAAATGTAATCTCAACTAAGCAGCTTATGCGCAAAAACACAAAAAATCCGAAATTACAACCTTTTCCAAATGATTTCTGAGGATCTAACATCCCCAACATCATCATCATAGACAGTGGATGAGGTTGCGTAACACTATGAATTGATCAAAATTAGACATTATAACACCGTTAGATACTGGTTCAATAGTTCAGAGATTGGGCGTTCGCTCGTAAGACTGAAAGTCCCAAATTCGAAACCCCACAATTAGCAGAAGTCATGGATGCTCACTGCCACTCTGATGAATCCAATACACTAAGAACGAAACGGCTGTCCAGTAATTGCAGGTTACTTACATTTTAAACATACTGTGGTGTGAGCTACTTATAAGTAGTATATGACGTGAGTGTCAACGTAATGTTTGGCAGCAGAAGATGGGGGGAAGATCAAGAAAGGAAGAGTTAGAAGAACACAATGGAATTTGTATGAAACGCATGAATAGTAGTGACAATGGATTGATGTTGTTTGCAACAGGAACAGTCCAGTTCGACGGATGATGGACTGATATTTTGCAAATAAATTAACCGTTTACGATATGGTTTTTCCAATTTTACTGAGTAACTCTGTAATTTTCGTTAAATACTATCCGGTTGCCCTCACCTGTGTTCTCGTTCACTACAATACCAGGAAAGATTCGCTTTCATCTTTTCATCTTTTATTTTACCTTTCTAGGAATTATGTTGTGTTAAAGAAGAATGTGCTGATTTAAAAATTCGTGTTTATTTACTTGAAAAAGAATTACATGCCAACCAGTTAACATTAGATAGTCGTAAAGCAGCTGAACATGCATTACGTGCTCATTTGAATGTGCTGATTATGGAGAAACACCAACAACAGCAGCATCATCATGAATGTTTTCATTCAATGAATGATTGCAATAAAGACAATTCTGTGTCAGTACAACCGACTACCACAACGCCGGCAGCAGCAAGCGCAACTTCTACAACTGCCACAACCACTACAACAACAACAACTGTTCAATCTATACATGGTTTAAATCAACATGAAACTATTCTATTAAGAGGACAAGTTAAGGTAATTATAATTTTTGTTTTTTCAATTTATTTATATAAAAAGTATATTTTTTTTTATGTAAGTTAAAAATGAGAAGATGTGGATGATTCATGTTACGGATTGTAGATGTTAACTTGATATATGGATGGTTGGGTTTGCCGATTGAGATGAGTCAACCGAGGTTTCAGTCAGTCAGTCAGTCAGTCAGTTGCAGCGTAAGAACTTCGTACGTATATACATAAGTTCATGTTGCCATACTACATGAGCACAGAGACGCAAATGTCAAATCAAATCCCACAGTGATAAAGATAGTAGAGGTATTAATGGTAATGAAGAAGACTAGGGGATTTGAAGATATTATTATTCAGGAAGTATAATTCAGTGAGATAAGGTTAGAAAGACAAAGGAGTAGAGGTGCTGAAGAATCCAGAAGATTAGGATTTGAGAGAGCACAACGAATGGATGCACTTGCGCCATTGCAAATGATTTTAAGCCATGTCGTTGTTCAAGGTCTCTAACCATTGATAACTTCCGTCTCGCGGACCTCAACCACGTAGTCTACATCTACCAACATGACTCAGTCCACTTGTCAGTGACTTCATGGATTTGTGTCATGTTTTGGTCTGGCCGCCCCTAGCTTTCTTCCAACCTACTCCTACATCACCAAACATAGCTCGTCGAGGCAGTCGGCGGTTAGGCATACGTAACACATGTCCCAACCACCTCAACTGATGAAGTTTTACCACTTCATCTATTGATCTGCCATCGTTACTTAGTACTCGTTTCCTAACGACAGCATTGCTTACTCGGTTGTCCCGCGGTATACGAGCAATGCTTCGGAGACATCTTTGATCGAATACTAGTAACCTACGAACATCTTCTACTCTTAACGACCATGTACTGCTGAGCAGTACACTCGTCCTTTGGTTAGCGAACGGATATCACGCCTACGCTATAAGTGACGCAGGTCAGCAAAAGCCGATGTTTATTAGCTGAAATATATGTTCCTGTAGGTTCTACCATGCCAGGCAGGTCAACTGGAGAATGGTAAGACTAAAAGAAGCAATGTGAGTAGCACAGTAGTACTGTTGATTGTAGAGAGGTGTGACAGAGTAGTAAGGTGTTCCTCTCGAACAACCAACACATGCAGCGATGCTGCCTTCTCATAACGCAGAAGGAAGGGGTTAAGTAAAGTTCTACCCTATAAATATCACACCTTGTCTTACCTAACAGATTTCTGTCTCCAGTGACAAAGCCATTTGAAGAACGGAGCTAAAACGTTAACTTGTTATAAAAATACCGTGCGTGACCAGCCTCAAGTAGCTGTTCTTTGGGCTCTGCGGTCACGCTCTACAGGTGGATAGATAGATAGAGAGAGCACAATCAATAAGCGACTTCGATTGTAACGCAGAGATAATTATATCTTATGTTATGCACGTCACAGTTGATATGCTTGAAACTATTACGAGTTCACTTTAGTCGATAAACGAGAGCTAAGATAAATGATTCATTGACACGATAGGCTACTCTAATCCGAGCATCTTAAGCCTCCACGAACGGTATCAAAATGTCTTGATTATAGCGTAGAAAGTGTGTTCTACTACAAGCATCCAGAAAATATGAAGTTTTGTACAGAAGAAGAAGAGGAAATTCTCAGAGTTCTAGTTGAGAAGGCGTGACTAATGGAGTTCAACCCTGTCAGGTGTAGTCAGTAACTACCAAAGACAAATGAGTATGGTCTTGCGAAAATCCGTAGATCAATCAGAGTTAGACATTAATACCGTTGGATGCCGGCCCAGTGGTCCGATGGTTAGGCGTTCGCGCATCATACTTAAGGTCCCGGGTTCGAATCCTGAGAGGTACAGGAGTCGAGAATGCGCACTGCCATTGATGAATCTCATACCAGGACGAGACGGCCGTTCAGTGCTTTCAAGTTTCTAATGGTGGTCTAACAATGATTGATTAATGATTTCAAATATTTACAGACAATGTCTATTTATACAGTTGGGTCGACTATGAATACTAATAACCAATAGGAAACAACATTGAAAAGTAAATGACCTTAAATAATTGACCAATAGGAATCGACCAATAGAATTAAACTTACAAAATCTTTTCTTTAAGATATTTGAGGCATATTCTAACATCTTCTCACCATCTGATCTTCTTTTTATTCATTTTTTTTAGAATCTTTTACAAGCTTTAGAAGCATTACGTAGTAGTACAGAAATACAACAATTACAAAGTGAAACATTAGTCAATGATTTAAAACGTGCCAATAGTGCATTGATTAAGGCGTTTGATAAAATTAAACAAAAATATACAACACGTATTAAAAAATTAGAAAATCAATTGAATTCTATTCAATCTTCTACTACAACAACAACAACACCTACTACTACTACTACTGATAACAATCATTTTAGTAGTATAGTTAAAGGATGTAAAATACAGCAACAGCAACATCATCATCACATAAATGATTTGAATAATTTAAGTAGTCATACGCAGCTGCATACTGTTTTACCAATGAAAAGTGGTTTTCAACAAGGTGCGGTCGTTACAACTACAACATTGGCACATTCAACGACTGATTCCATTCGTGACTTACCACCAACTACTCGTATCCCTCCGAATATTCCACTGCATCATCCACCTCCCCCTCATCCTCATTCTCATCATCAGCACAATCCACTAACACGACCACCACAACAACCACAACAGCAACCGATGAGACCGAATACTCCGAAACTAGGCACAACACCACCGACACATCAACATCCTCCTCCTGTTTCATCATCACAGTCATTGTCCAGTAGGAAATAGTTGTGATTCTTGGATCCAGTCAATTGTTTATTCTTCAAAAGTTCCTTCACTTACTCAGTCACTCACTCACTCACTTACACACTTACTGTACAGTATAAATCGAATGAAATGAAATATGAATCGATTAAGATTCATTTAACATGCCGCCCCGCCCCGCCCCGTCCTCCGAATACTTCAGATTGCTGTTTTTTCTTGGCCTCATATTTTCCGCATTTTTTTGATTCGTTTAGGAAACAGTTACTGTGTTTTATAACAAACATTCTTTTTTTGCTTGGTGAGAGATGACACAACAATATCATGTTTACTGATGAAATATTTCTTTTATGGATTCCTTTTTTCTGTTCATATTATACATACTACTTATATTTATACTACTTATATTCCTACTACTTATAGCACTACGTATGTCCATATTACACACTCACACACACACACTTTGAGTGAGACAGAAAATGACTCCTCCTCCCGTCACCCCCAGTTGATCGATATTTCTGATCATGCCTTGTTGATTGATAATTTAAGATTTATTATTTCACATTTATTATTTCATATACTACTTTCATTATTATTAGTATGATTATCAGTACTATATGCTTTCAGAATTCATCGATCTCATTTTACTTAGTAGAATCTCTCGATCGGTTCTTATCGACTGACTTTCATGCACACACATACACGTGCATTTCTCTCACATTTTGCGGATGAATGCATTTAATTTTTGTCAATTTTAGTCAATTTTTTGCGACTTTTTGTCAGTGTTCACTGGGATTCTCTCTCTCTTCATTTGTCTTCTCTCTTATTTTGGGTATGAAACCAGTCGAGATTGGTTTGTTATGTAAATTAATTAATTGATCCGGTCAAAATCTGGTCGATCTCTCTCTTTCTCTCAATCTTTTGCGAATTTCACTTGTATTTATGATTATTTATATGCGCTGAATTTTATTTCATATTCAAACATTATTCATTTTGATTATTGTTTAGAAACTGTTCATTCTTTCACTTTGTTTTTTCACTTTTATATATATATATACTACTTAAATATATATACTTATTTTGATTTGGACATATTTAAAATAAAAATACATGCATATATTACTGAATATTATCTGTCTTATAAAAAGCGTCTATTCAAGCAATGGTATGGTATGAAGAGAAGGGGGAGGCTATAGACATGACAGTGTACATACTCAGGTGAAATACTACTTATTTAATGACTTCACATCAGTAACCATGGTCGGTCATTGTTGGAGTATTATGAGCGAGCGCTTAATTTTAGATGTATCAGTACGGTTATCACTTCCAAGTTGCATAGACTTTGAAAGAATACTACATCTTCTCGAAGTATATCTGGATTGAAAGTATCCTGGAAAACCTGAAATCTTGATCAATGGACCTTCAAGGGACAATCAATTGTTCTTCATTCTTCTCGTGTCTGTCTCCATTCTGTTGGTGTAATGTGTCCCTTGGTCTATGTTACGTATGCGCGCGACCACGTCCTTTGATATGCTTGAAACTATTACCAGTTTACTTTAGTCGGTGAATGAGAGCGAGGATCGATGATTCGGCCGAACGATATGCTACTCTAATCCTAACGTCACAAACCCCCATTGAGTAAGAGAAGAAGACTTGATATGAAGTAGAACGGGTATTCTACAAACATCCAGGAAGTATGAGGTCTGAGTCCAGAAGAAGATAAGGATCCTGTCCAGGTCATAAAAAGTTACAGATAATGCACATTTATACAGTTGAGTCGAATAGGAAACAACATTGAAGACTGTGACATTGATAGTTAGGACAGCTAATAGGGATTGACCAATAGAACTAGACTTACAAATTGGATATTGGATGAATATCTTAACAGTCTACCTCTTTTCCTTTGACCTTGGCCTAATTATCCTTGGGCTTGTTCCATATTTGAGACTACAATGAAACGGTTAGCTTACTCCAACTAGTTTTCAAATAACTTCTATCACAATATTCAAGCAATGTTATGGTACGAAGAGAAGAGGAAGCCTATAGATATGACAATGTACATACTCAGGTGATTTTTTTTGTTAAAAGCCATGATATACTACTTATTTAATGACTTCACAACAGTAATTATGGTCGGTCATTGTTGGAGTATTATGAGCGAGCGCTTAACTTTAGATGACTAAGTATGATTGTCACTTCCAAGTTGCATAGACTTTGAAAGAATACTACACTACATCTTCTCGAAGTATATTTGGTTTGAAAGTAGCCTTGAAAAGCTGGCATCTTGATCACTAGACCTTCAAGGGACAATCAATTGTTCTTCATTCTTCTCAGGTCTGTCTGCATTCTGTTGACGTAATGTTTTCCGTGAGGATTCTAAGTGAGAGCTTGTCTTGTGTTGTGTAGGTTAAGAACTTAGAATCACGACCCAATTATCCTAAGGTTTGTTCCATATTTGAGACTGTTATGTTACTCCTTGTAGTTTTTAATGAGCCTTATCAATAACATCTGTCATAATGATATGAACAAACTTCACGCTGGGTTGATTGTCACAAATCCAAAAAATTGGACATTGACCTGACACATCAAGCGCACATACTAATTTGTTATGTCCAATAATGCTAGTATATTCATCCAATATCCTAAGAGAATGATTGGTCAATTCGTATTGGTTAATTCCTATTGGTGAATTTTATGGTCGTCCTAGATATCAATGTCACGTACTTCAATGCTGTTTCTTATTGGTCATCCTGATTGTCATTGTCACAGATTTCGATGATGTTTCCTATTCGACCGAAATGTATAAATACGCATTATCTGTAACGTTTTATGATCAGGATCCGGACCCGGATTCTTAGTCCGGGATCCTGATTCTCCTCTGCACTCGGACCTCCTACTTTCTGGATGTTTGTAGAATACAGGTTCTACTTCATATCAAGTCTTCTTTCATTTAATGGGGGTTGGGACAATCGGGTTAGAGTAGCATGTCATGTCTCCGGATGCTCGATCCTCGCTCTCGTTTCCCGACTAAGGTAAACTCGTAATAGTTCAAGCATATCAAATTGACATGTTTACGCGTATGTGTAATAAATGAGAAGACATTAATTAGTAAATCCAGTACATTATATATTCAACGATGTTAATATACTACTTTTTCTATACTACTGATAAGAATTAGTTATTTGTAAGCTTGAATTATGCGTTACATAATTATTGACCATAGTTTAGCGATCATTCTGAAAAGAATAAAACACAAAAACTTGTTTAAAATGATTATAAAAGATGAATAACTGCAAATAGATCAGTAATATTAGAATTAGGTCTGAGGAATATTCAACCAAGGCTGACTAAAAACTTAATTTAGTGGGCATTAAGAACTAGGAAGCGTTATACATCTGTATCCCTTTTGTACGAGACTGATAAGTAGCGGTCTCATAAGAAATATAGCTGAATTTCACTGATCACAGTGACTTAAAAGAACTCAGCAAGCGCATCTCGACTAGTCAGATTGATTTATAGAGGTAAAACTTGAGTTCGAGCCGATGATCTAATGGTTGAATGGTGGATGAATGGTTCGACCTCTTTGTTTGGCTTCTCTTAAATATGTTTCATGAACTTTTGTAAAAGAGAAATCTCAATAACGTCGTACTTCAATTATGTTCAGCTCCGACTAGTATTTTGAAATTCAGTTGTTTAGTAGCATACATTGAAATCATGAATGAATCATTCATTGTTAAACGATCATTTGAAACCTGAAAGAAGCACTGAGAGATGGCTGTTTCGTCCTCGTATGAGACTCATCAGCAATGATTCATTCATGATTTTAATGTCAAACAACGATGTCTATGCCATAATGAAAAAAAGTCAAAATGTGCTAACTAGTGACTAGCTGCGTGATGGAAATTCTCGGAGTTCTAGTGTGAATACGTCGCCAGTTGGTTCAACCTTGGTTCAACACAATGGACGCAGTTGCTCAAAATCCTTAGATTGGTCAGAGAGAGAGAGAGAGAAGACAACACCGTTGGATGGTGGCCAACTCAATGGTCTAGAGGTCGAGCATTCGCGCACAAGATCAAAGGTCCTGGGTTCGAATCCTGAGAGCAATAGGATTCGTGGATACGCACTGGTTCATTGTCTCGGTCTCGTTTATCGGCTAAGGTGAACTCGTAATAGTTTCAAGCACATCAATCTGAAGAGTATAACACGTTGTTCATTGGCTATCATAGGACTACATCGCTTGATATTGCTCCTGCACTGCTGCCTTTCAATAAAAAAATATTTTCGGGCAGAGTTTTTGGAGGTTTGTGTTTTTACACATTTGAAATCATCAATCAATCATTGTTAGACCACCACATTAGAAATCTGGAAGCACTGGATGGCTGTTTCGTCCTGGTATGGGACTCATCAGTGGAAGCACGTGTCTAAAACTCCTAATCCTTGTAGAATTCGAACCCAGGACCTTCGGAATTGTGCGCGAACGACTAACCATCGGACCACTGGGCCGGCATCCAACGGTTTCAATGTCTAACTGTGATTGACCCACGGATTTTTCGCGACCTCACCCATTTGTCTTTGGTAGTTACTGCCTACACATACCCGACAGGATTGAACTCCATTGATCACGTCTTCTCAACTAGAACTCCGAGAATTTCCTCACGAATCTGGTAGCCACTAGTAAGCACTGTTATGATATTTTGGGGCACAGTTTTGGAGGTTTGTATTTTTACACATTTGAAATGTGTAAAAAAATATTTTGAAAATAAACGGAAATCTTAACTTACTAGAAAAAATGTTATAAACATTTCCATCGTTCGTTATTCTGTTGTATGATAAATTGAATAATGTGTTTCATTCTGTAAAATCACATCAAAAAGAACAGTGAGATTATATTTTATTTATATTTACGCCTGTTACCCCGAATGGAGCATAGGCCGCCAACCAGTTTTCTCCAACCAACTCTGTCCTGGGCTTCCCTTTCCAGTTCTGTCCAATGTTTGTTCATTCCTCTCATATCTTTCTCTATTTCTTGGCGTAATGTATTCTTTGGCCTTCCTCTTTTCCTTTTCCCTTGAGAGTTCCATGTGAGGGCTTGTCTCGTGACGCAGTTAGGTGCTCTTCGTAGTGTGTGTCCTATCCACTTCCACCGCTTCTTCCTGATTTCCTTCTCCACTGGAATCTGGTTTATTCTCTCTCACAGTTCGTTGTTGCTGATGGTGTCTGGCCAACGAATACGAAGTATTTTGCGTAGACAGCTGTTAATAAACACTTGTATCTTCTGGATGATTGTTGTTGGATTTTTTTGCAAGGTTACCATCATGGATTGATTTGAATTAGAGCAATTGTGAAAAAATCTGAAACATTGTGTTCATACTAGTGTGGTGTGTGCTACTTATACGAACGATATAAGTAGTAGTATAAGAAGGGACGTGAAAGAAGAAGAAGTCTCACGGTCAGAAGAGGAAAACGGAAAGCAGATGGAAGAAAAGCAAGAAGTAAATGGAGTACCAACAGGAAGGAAAGGAAGCAACAACAGGAATGGAAGAAGAAGGATGGAGTGTTGGAAGTCACGACTCAAAGAGATGGTGTGCAAATAGAGTAAGTATTCAATGTAATGTTGTCGTTTTTAACTGACTCAGAGTGTAAATTGGCATAATACAACCTTCCGCGCCTGCCTCAGTCTTCTCACTAGTATTTACTGGAACACATCAGAAAGATTCATTCACAACAACTTGATCACAGGGGCTCTGAGCTTAGAATCGTCGGTCTTTCAGCCAGAGTTTAACTTCTTTGACCAGCTAGCTAGCATCCAATGATGTACATATCTAATGAACTTCAATCGATTCAATGATATTTCAGGATTATCTTTAGTTTCGTTAGGCAGATGACTGTCCCGTATTCTATGTAAATAAGCTACATCAGTGACAATTTCTCACTAGGACTATTAGAATTGAGTCTTGAAATCTAATCAGGATAAGCCAATGATGAAAATAGCAAATGGTTTTTTTGTTCTCATGGTGATCGACTGGATTATGAAGACGTCGACACCTGGGAAGGGGAGCGAGAGATACAGTGGACAGTTACGACGCAGCTGGACGATCTAGACTTCGCAGATGACCTAGCTGTTCTATCGCATATGCAACAACAAATGCAAGAGGAGACGACCAATATATCAGCAGCCTCTGCAGCAGTAGGTCTTAACATACACAAGGGATAAAGCAAGAGTCTCGGATACAACACAACTTAAACCAACCATATCACACTTGACGGTGAAGCTTTAGAGGGTGTAAAAACTTTTACATATCTCGGCAGTATCACTGATAAACAAGGAGGATTCGATGCAGATGTGAAGACGTGGATTGGCAAAGTGAGCACTGCATTTCTACAACTGCAGAACATCTGAGACTCAAAACACCTATCAACTAACACCAAAATCAGAATTTCCAATACACATATCAAGATAGTCCTAGTGTATGGGGTGGGAACTTGGAGAACCATAAAAGCCATCATAAACGCAGAATACTGTGTATCTGTTGGCCAGATACCATCAGCAACAACACCATACTATGGGAAAGAACAAGCCAGATTTCAGTGGACGAAGAAATTACGAACAAGCGCTGCCCCATAAGACAAGACCTGACTTCGGATTCTAAAAGCCAAAGAAAAAGAGGAAGACCAAAGAACACATTACATCGAGAAATGGTGACAGATATGAGAAGAATGAACAACACTTGGACAGAACTAGTAAGGAAGGCTGATGACAGAATAGACTGGAGAATGCTGGTCAGTGGCCTATGCTCCGCTGTGGGGAACCGGCGTAAGTAAGTAAGTAAGTAAGTAAGTATACAGTTCTCACTGTTTTCTTACCTTGACGATGGTGTAGTCGGCAATGCAGCATGCAATCCAGTTGTAATTGGTTTTCCTTGTAGACTTTGTAAAAAATTCATTGAATATAAGTCATTGAGAGACGATCCATTAATGAGCACTGTTCTACCTAGTCCATTTATTAAATAAATTATTTGAGCTAAACTATCCAATGTAAAATATTCCTAAATAGGAAAAAATATTGAAAAACGAAAGATCTTTAATAAGCGAGTTTATAGTTTTTTGCATTAACAAGCTAAACTATTTCAATTAGAGTTATGGAGATAATTGTTTTTACGCATTTTTGGAAATCATCAATCAATCATTGTTAGACCACCACAGTATAAACCTGTCAGAAGCTCTGGATGGCTGTTTCGTGCGCATCCACGAATCCTGCACCGGCCAGTGGTTCAGAGGTTAGGCGTTCGCGCGTAAGACCGAAGGTCCTGGGTTCGGATCCTGCGAGGAGCTGTTTCCATGGGTACGCATTGCTGATGAGTCCCATACCAGGACGAAACGGTCGTCCAGTGAATCCATGTTTCTAATGGTGATCTAACAATGATTGATTTATAATTTCAAATATGTAAGAACTAAGCCTTCTCAGTATGTGAAGGAAACTAAAAAGTTCCAAATGATTTGAGCCATGTGATTAAACTTGCTAGGACTATAGCATTATTGGAGATCGTTGTTTATACACAGTGAAATTGTGAATGAATCATTGTTAGACTACCGTTGGAAATCTGGAAGCACTGTACTAGGCGACCGTTTCGTCCTAGTATGGGACTCATCAGCAATAAATCTAACAATGATACATTCATGATTTTATTGTGTAAAACATGACGATCTCCATAATACTATAATGCGAAATCACTAATGTCTAGCTTGGTAAAGGGATTCTCGGAGTTGTACTGAGATGCCGTGACAAGTTACGTTGAACCTTGTCGGAAGACAGTGGATGAGGTACACCATATGCTGTACTGCTGTATAGAGCTGAAGGTCTCCTATGAGACTAGAGGTTCTCTGTGAATATTGTGGATGGCTTGGCTTTGCTTTGGTAAGCATTGTTAACAGTCACTATACAAAATTGGTTACCAAGGTGACCAATTTCATTGATATAAGTGGTTGTTTTGCAACATTCCCAAGGGCCATTATCATTGGAATGCTGTATTACATATCACCATTGCTAATAATAATGAGTTTGACAGTCATGTAAGCGGGATGGTTCGTAAATGGCCTGTTCATGTGGTGCATATTGACTGTGACTCGATCATTGATCGGAAACACATATATACCATTGTGTGTTTATTAAATGGTGTGAATGGTCCACCAGTGTTTCAGGTACCTGTTTGGTGGTTGCACCACAGGATTGAGCCGAACTGTTCAGGCAGTAATGGTAAAACGTAAGCAGTCAGTCTCTTTGGTTCTCCTGAAAATTGCCCCCTAGACAATACAGGGTAAATTTATATAATTGTGAATAAACTGGTTGATCTTGCCAGTAGTCATATGCTTGTCTCAGAGATTAAGCCATGCATGTCTAAGTACATACCTTAATACAGTGAAACCGCGAATGACTCATTAAATCAGCTATGGTTCCTTAGATTGTAAACGCTACATGGATAACTGGCAAATACATACCTCGACTAACTGTGAGAAAAACTGGGTTACTTGATCAGTTATACTATCTACTTTGAGGTTACTTTATTTTAAAGTGAGTTCAATTTCTACAGGATGAGGTCGCTAACTGTTACGCATGCACGTAAACACGTCATTTTGATATGCTTGAACTATTACGAGTTTAACTAAGTCGGAAAACGAGAGCGAGGATCGAGGATCCAGCGACACGATATGCTACTCTAATCCGAGTGTCCCAACCCGCAGATTGAATAAAAGAATAACACTTGATATGAAGTAGAACCTATATTCTACAAACATCCAGAAAGTACGAGGTCCGAATCCAGAAGAAGACACGGATTCCGGACTGAGGATCCGGGTCCTGGTCTTAGAATGTTACAGATAATGCGTATTATTACATTTAGGTCGAATAGGAAGAAGCATCGAAGTCTGTGACAGTGACAGTTAAGTCGACCAACAGGAACCAACATTTGAAGTGACATTAACAGTCAGGACGACCATAAAATTGACCAATAGGAGTTGACCAATAGTTCTCTTAAGATAATAAATAAATTTCCTAACACTAACATCATGCCCAACCCTCCTTACTTCATCGACCGGGCTTGGGACCGGCAGTAACCTTAGAAGAGCTCCGGGCTCAGTTAAATTTATATTTTCACAGAGGTAATATTTTCTCAAAAATAAATCATTTTAAACATATCATTGATAATATGAATACTTACACACTCCAGCGGATTAGATCCAATCATTAGACAAATAAGATCTGGTTCATACTCATAAGAAATCGGCAGAAATATATGATATAAGATTGATAATAAATTGATCATATTTATATGTGAATTTAAAATTTCCGGTGAAAATTGTTCATTTGAACATTGAACCGTAGTAGTTGGAAGAGGGATTTTCAACCAAACTATATTATGTCTAATGTTTTTTTCATGAATAGATTCTGAATGGTAAATTGATAAATCTTTGGCGCGTAATTCATTTGGTATGATTAGTAGTTGATCAGCACATTGACCATAATACACTGAACACCAAATTAAACTGTAATGTAAAAGAAAAATGAGAATTTAGAAGTTGGATTTATTCTGTAACAGTGGAAATCTTTAATGATATTGGGATACTTACTGGATAAGAATTTCTGTGTACTTGTGTAAAAAATACATCCACAATCTTACTTACTTACTTACTTACGCCTGTTACCCCCAGTGGAGTAGAGGCCGCCCACCAGTTTTCTCCAACCAACTCTGTCCTGGGCTTCCCTTTACAGTTCTGTCCAATGTTTGTTCATTCTTCTCATGCCTGTCTCTGTTTGTCGGTGTAATGTGTTCCTTCGCCTTCCTCTTTTCCTTTTACCTTGAGGGTTCTATGTGAGGGCATGTCTTGTGACGCAGTTAGGTGCTTTTCGTAGTGTGTGTCCTATCCACTTCCACCGCTTCTTCCTGATTTCCTCCTCCATTGGAATCTGGTTTGTTCTCTCCCACTGTAGGTTGTTGCTGATAGTGTCTGGCCAACGGATGCGAAGTATTTTGCGTAGACAACTGTTCATAAATACTTGTATCTCCTGGATGATGGCTTTGGTAGTTCTCCAAGTTTCCGCTCCATACAATAGAAGTGTCTTGACATTTATATTGAAAATCCTGATTTTGGTGTTGGTTGATAGCTGTTTATAAACACAAACTGATCTGCCATGCTTACCTAGTACCTTTTTCCTAACACCAACATTGCTTACTCGATATTGTCTCAGAATATATATACAATGCTTCGTAGACACCTACAAGCCAAAATGAATATCCCCGCCTTTCTTACTGGCCAGGTAGCTCGAATATTCAATCATACTGCCAATAATTTCATTTCTCCAACAAATGAATCAATATCATGTTACACATTTTTGAAACCATGAGTCGATCAATGTTAGATGAACACCATTAGAAAGCTGGAAGCACTGAAAGACGGTCGTTTTGTCCTGGTATGGGACTGCTCAGCTGTAAGCATCCACGACTCCTGAACCCCGCAGGATTCGAACCCAGGACCTTCAGGATAGTAGGCGAACGCCTAACCATCGGACCAGTGAGCCGGTATCTAACGGTGTTAATGTCTAACTTCGATCAGTTCACGGAGTTGCGCAACCTCATACACAGTCTTCGGTAGTTACTGTCTACACCCGAACAGGTTGAACTTCACTGGTCACGTCTTCCCACCACTAGAACTCGGAGAAGATTCCTCACGAAGCTAGTTACTAGTGAGCACAGGTAATTTGCATTTAGGGGTTTGTGAAGATTGTTAAGTTACAGATTTTTGAAACCATGAATCGATCAATGTTAGACTACCATTAGACCACCATTTGATCAAGTTAGACATTAACACCGTTAGATACCGGCCCAGTGGCGTTCGCGGACAATACCGAAGGTCCTGGGTCCGAATCCTTCGAGGTGCAAGAGTCGTGGATGCGCACTGCCACTGATGAGTAGTCCCATACCAGGACGAAACGGCCGTCTTTCAGTGCTTCCAGATTTCTAATGGTGTTCATCTAACACTGATCGATTCATGGTTTCAAAAAAATGTGTAACTTAACAATCTTCACAACCCCGTAATGCAATATCATGTTCACAGAAAAAAACTTTTCAAAAAAAAACAAGTCATCTTTATTTTCATCGATCATATACTACTGAAATTCATAAAAAAAACTAGTAGTACCCACCTTTTTCCATCTTTCATTCATTTTATGTGTTCAATGCGCGCGCGCACACACACACAAACATAAAATGATGTAATTGCTTATTACATTTAAAACAAACATTGAATGTCTTCTACATTAATTTTGTTTATATTAAGAAAAAAAGGTGAACAACCTTTAGCCATTTTGATTTATTCATTTTATGAATAAAAATGAAGTAGAAAATAAACTGGACAGTGAAATGTTTTCACAGAGAGAGAAAAAAAGGAAATTGAACTTTGAATACTAATGAAGATGAAATTAATTAATTTTTAACTATAATACAGTCAGTCGTACAAAGAAAGATGATGTTAAAACTTTAAAGATGTTTTAAATTTGGCTCCAGTTAAAAAACAGTCAATTAATTGTAAATGAACATTTAATTTAAATAATCAGTCACTTTGGGGCACAGTTCTGGAGATTTGTGTTTTTACACACATTTGAAATCATCAATCAATCAATCATTGTTAGACCACCACCATTAGAAACCTGGAAGAAGCACTGGACGGAAGTTCCGTCTTAGTACCTGACTCATCAACAGTGCGTGTCCATGACACCTGCTTGCAAGAAATGAACGCAGGATCTTCGGTTTCGCACGCGAAAGCTTAACCACTGGACCACTGAACTGACATCCAACAGTGTCACTGTCTAACTCTGATCAATTTAAGGTTTTGCATAACCTCACTCATCATCTTCAGTAAGTAACTGCTCACTAGTAACTAGTTGCATGAGGAAATTTTCGGAATTCTAGTAAGAAGTCATGAGCAATGTAGTTCAACCCTTTCGGATATGAAGCAGTGCCTACCGAATAGAGTGGATGAAGTTGCGTAAGACCGTTGATTGATCGAAGTTAGAAATTAACACAGATGGATGTCGCCTCACTGGTCTACAGGTTAAGCGTTCGCGAGGAGGTTCTGAGTTAGATTCTCGCTAGCGGAGGTCGTAAATACGCACTCCTGATGAGTCCCATGCACAAGGACAAACCAAATGTCTCTCAACGATTCCAAGTTTCTTTCTAATAATGTTCTAACATTAGTCAATTCTTTACACATTTGAAATCATCAATCAATCATTGTTAGACCACCATTAGAAACCTGGAAGCACTACACGACGGCCGTTTCGTCCTGGTATGCGACTCATCAAGCAGTGCGCATCCACGACTCCTGCTCCTCGCAGGATTCGAACCCGGAACCTTTGGCATTGTAGGCGAACGCCTTACCATCGGACCACTGGACCGGCATCCAACAATGTTAATGTCTAACTCTGATTGATCTAAGGATTTTGCGCGACCTCACCCATTTGTCTTTGGTAGTTACTGCCTACACCTGACAGGGTTGAACTCCATTGGTCACGTCTTCTTAAATAGGACTCCGAGAATTTCCTCACGAAGCTAGCTAGTCATCACTAGTGAGCACTGTTACGATATTTTGGGGCACAGTTTTGGAGGTTTGCGATTTTTTACACATTTGAAATCATCAATCATGATTTCAACAAATAAATAGGAGATTAATTGACTAATTATACAATAATTATTCAATTAAATGAAAAAAAATTATTCATTAATCATTAGGGAGTGTGTGTGTATAGAGTGATAGAGGTCTTTGACAAGTGTTACTCATCTTTCAGTAAAAAATTAAACCCAAAGGGATTATTGCAAAGTAATCTGTATTTTATTATGTATGATTTTGACTAGTTATAAAACAATAGGAGGAATAAATCAAGACAACAATGCGATTATTCACTCGTTGAACACATTGAACAGTTTCATGTTCAATAGAGAGAGAGATAGAGAGAGAGTGAAAAACTGAGTGAAATATGAATGAACTCGCCCTTCAGAATTCCTACCAATATGATGATGAATAATGTGTGTAGGTAGATAATGAGAACAATTTTTTCTAGTTTTAAGAAACGCCCCATGTAAAAACATTAAATTTTGTTTAAATGAATAAAGGATTTGCGGAATTTTAATTTAATATATAAGATGACGTCAAAATTTGATGGGAAGCATGGGATGTAGCTGGACGATTTGGACTTTGCAGATGACCTGGCTCTTCTATCGCACACGCAACAATAAATGTAAGAGAAGATGACCAGTGTAACAGCAGCCTCAGTAGTAGTGGGTCTCAACATACATAAAGAGAAAAGCCAAGATTCTCTGATACAACACAACATTTGTGGTGCGAGCTACTTATAAGTAGTAATTGACGTGAGTGTCAACGTAATGTCTGGCAGCAGAAGATGAGGCAAGAGATCAAGAAAGGAAGAGTTAGAACACAATGGAATTTGTATGAAACGCATGAATAGTGAGTGACAATGGATTGATGTTTTGCAACAGGAATGGTCCAGTTCGATATGATGATGAACTGATATTTTGCAAATGAACGATTTACGATATGGTTTTCCTATTTTACCAATTAACTCTGTAATTCTCGTTGAATACAATTCGGTTGCCACACCTGTGTTCTCCTTCACTACACATTCACTAACCAAACCACACTTGATGGAGAAGCTTTAGAGGGTGTAAAAACCTTTACATATCATAGATGAGCATGGCGGATCTGATACAGATGTGAAGGCATGGGTTGAGAAAGCAAGGGCTACATTTCTACAACTGAGGAATTTCTGTAACTCAATACAACTATCAACTAACACCAAAGTCAGAATTTTCAACACAAATATCAAGGTAGCTCTACTGTATGGAGCGGAAACTTGAAGACTTGTGAAATCAGGAAAAAGCATACTGGAAGTGGATAAGACACTTAATGAGGAATACATCACAACACAAACCCTCACTTGGAATCCTCAAGGTCAAAGGAAAAGGAAAGACCAAAGAATATATTACGTTGAGAAATGGAAACAGACAGAACTAGAAGGGAAAGCCGACGATAGGCTCGTCAGTGGGTCAAGTGGTTGCCTGCTGAGACGAATCAAATTGTCAGTAGTTTGTGGATTTTAATCGGTACCTCAAATGAGATTGATCTACTGAGAATAAAATTTTTTTTTGGTTACTTCAATGACTAATTTTAGCAAGAATTGCCTTAGTTCCGAAGTAAGGAGTTTCAACCTATTACTTACCTACTTACACCTGTTACCCCTCATGAAGCATAGGCTGGCGACCAGCGTATTATTTTTTCTGTTAGCCTTTCTTTTGGCAAGTTAAATGTCTACGGGATGCGGTAGCTAACCCTTATGCCCAAGCCTCCTCCTTTATCCGACTGGCTTAGGACCGGCAGTAACCTTAGAAGAGATCTAGGTGGAGTTCTCAATCTATTATATCACCCAGTTTGAAAGTACCCTTAAAATTCCCCTGATAATTAAAAAAGATTAGGGCATTGATAGCACTGAATTGAAAATCCATGTTGGATGACGCCCAAATCCATAAATTAGGATGTAGAAACTATTTATTATTGAACTGTTAACATCAGTTGAACAGAGTATCATGAGTATGATGATATTTTTTGAAATTGTCAAACGAGGTGCGTATTACAGATAACTCGGGCAAAATGAATCAGCACTCTGGAAAGAAAAAGATTATCAGAAAACAGTCTAATTCCGCCTCCGTGGCGCGATGAGTTAGCACGCTCGGCTATTAACCGAAAGGTTGGTGGTTCGAGTCCACCCTGAGGCGTCAGCCACTTAGAACTTCGTATGTGCGTACGTACGTACGTAAGTAAGTACATCGGTCCAAGTTTTCATATCACATTAACACACACAGGGATCAAATTGTCGATTCAAACCCCATAGTAGTAGTAAAGGTAGTAGAACTAAGAGCAGTTATCGGAGAGATTAGGGTTCGATTATATTATTCAAGAAGTATAATTCAGAGGAAGGTAGATGTGATGAGGAATTCAGAAGATTAGAATTTCAGTAAAAAGAACACGAATGGATACACTTGCGCCATTGCAAACCATCAGTCCCGATTATCTCACGGATTCCAACCAAGTAGTCTACCTACACTTACCAATATGACTCAGTCCACTTGTCAATGACTACATGAATTTGTGCCAAACTGTTTGGTTTGACCGCTCCTAACTTTCTTCCAACCTACTTTTACACCACAAAACATTACTTGTCTAGGTAGTCGGACATGCGTAACCCACATATCCCAACCACTTCAAACTGACTAAGAAGCAAAATAGTAGATTTAGTCAAAGGTCTCCATCAAGGGCGTTATCATTTTCCGTAGCACATTATAAATCCACCAAAAGGTACACATTAGTCCTAAGATTTCTCTATCATTAAGAACAATTTCAAATAATTCAACTTATTTCACTAGATTTAAGTAAACATGATAAACTGTGAACAATATACATTTCAAACTTACGAAAATTAAATTTTAACTAAATTTATTGTGATTATGTATTTACAAATTTTTTCTTAATCACTTATTTCAAAGTGTTTATTAGAAAATAAACTAAAAAATTGTTAACTTCACTTAGTTTTACTATGTTTTTTCATGTAATCATATCAAATGTCACCATCTTATCAGTAAGTATACGTATCTGTAAATATATATATGGGTAAAAAACGTGTCTATAAATTAGGTTACGGCATTTTTCACTTGTTACAATATAAGTAAGTAGGTAAGTAAGTAAGTAAGTAAGTGCATAAGTAAGTAATTGAGTAAGTAAGTAAGTGCATAAGTAAGTAAGTACGTAAGTAAGTAGGTAAGTAGGTAAGTAAGTAAGTAAGTAAGTAAGTAAGTAAGTAAGTAAGTAAGTAAGTAAGTAAGTAAGTAAGTAAGTAAGTAAGTAAGTAAGTAAGTAAGTAAGTAAGTAAGTAAGTAAGTAAGTAAGTAAGTAAGTAAGTAAGTAAGTAAGTAAGTAAGTAAGTAAGTGAGTAAGTAAGTAAGTAAGTAAGTAAGTAAGTAAGTAAGTAAGTAAGTAAGTAAGTAAGTAAGTAAGTAAGTAAGTAAGTAAGTAAGTAAGTAAGTAAGTAAGTAAGTAAGTAAGTAAGTAAGTAAGTAAGTAAGTAAGTAAGTAAGTAAGTAAGTAAGTAAGTAAGTAAGTAAGTAAGTAAGTAAGT